GTTTGTGGTTCCAGTGCGTTGCGCTATGCCAAGGAGTAGATAGCATTGACTGGGGAGGTGGCTTCCGAGCTCTCGTTGCCTTCCGTCTCCTCTTTGTCCTTCTTCACCGTGTACTGGCCGATAAAGGAGCCGTCCTCGTTAAACTGCCCTTCGCCCCCCTCTCCATAGTCCACCAAGCTATCGTCGCTCTCCTGCTGCTTTATCGTGCCGTCCAAGGAGGTCTGGCTGTTTGGCAGGGGTTTGTTGTCTTCATCGCTGGGTAGCAGAAGACAGACAGACACAGTAAGGGTTGAGAATGGGGCTTACAACCTTCACCCAAGGTCTGGATATTCAAAAATAAATCCAGTGTGCAAATATACTGACCAGAGACCACAAACGCGGGGTGCTCTGACTGCAGCCAGCGCGTCACGCCGTGTCTGGCACGGAGGTGAAGGTGGGGAGACAGCCTCCGCGTGGGAGACCCACCGCTGCCTCTGCAGTCGGTGCTGTGGTTGGTATTTCTGCAAGCCCAACCTTCACGCTTTTTCTTTTTCGAAAGCTTTTTTTTTTTTTTTTCTTTTTTAAACCTTTATTACATAGGATGCTCAGATCAATCCAACTGGATGTACGTTATAAATATCCTTTCCTTGTCATTGCTTATATTCTTTCTTTCTCTTAGCATTTTAGCCAACCTTGGCATAACCTGAGGGTCGTTTCCAGATTTCCTTGCAAAACCACACTCGGTTGTTTAGATAGCTACATGCAATGGGGAGCATTCAAAGCACTGCGAGGGGGCATGTATAGGATGCCAAGTTCTGTGCAGCTTCCAAAACTCATGGGAATTTACCTTTCCAAGCTTATTTCTGAGCATCTAAGCTTATTTGCTCAATTCTTTATCCTTTTCTCTCTTTCTCTAAAAAGATTAAGCCAGGTCACTGAAAAATAAATAGTCTGACCCACAGGAAAAAAAAACCCCAACCCTTTAAAAAAAAGCTTTTAAAAAAAAAAAAAAAAAAACAACCAGGGAAAAGCTGTTTTCTCTCTGGAGGGCAAGGGCTGGTATCTCATAAATACAGACAACGGTGTGTGGAGGATGAATGGATTGCTATACATAAAAAATTAATTTTCGTATCGGCTAGTCCTTAGTTCACGTTTGGTCCTATGTCCAGCATGCAGATTGTATAATATGCCTAAAGATATCACATAGGTACTTTAAACATTTACTTTTTTTTCCTCCCACCTCCATTTCTGTCTTTTTATCGTTGTTGTTTTAGCTCGGGCTCCTCAGGCTCGCTCCCAGCGCGGCACTCTACTCTGTTCTTTATTTTTCTTAAAATTGGTAAAAGTACTGGGCTTTGATTGCAGCTCTTGACGGTCGGTGCCCGCACTGAGGTGTTTGCCTCCCGTGAAGGCATGAGAAACACTTTGCTTGGGCCAGGGAGCAAAACGCTCTTCAGCCGGGGAAGGCATTAACTCTCTCTCATGCCATTTAATTAATGGCATCGGCGCTCTCCAGTGGGAGAGGAATTTGGTATCCCACAGGACAACACGCAGCTTTTTAACATATTGCCTTCTATCAGCGCTTTGTGAATTAAGCAATAATACAAAACCAATATTTGAGGCCTTGTGTTAACTTGGCATCACAATAAAAAAATTTGTTAGCTTTGAAAGCAGCTTCTTTCTGGGGGGAGGAGGAAGAGAATTCAGTCTGCAAGCGGGACTGCCGGTTAGAAAGCCCAATAAATGCCAAGTAGAGAGCGGCAAAACCCAGATCCCTTCGTTTGCAATATCCCTTCCCGAGGTTTGGGGTTCAGTTAAAGCTGAATCTCTAGAGCTAGATCTTACCCTACTGGGGGGTTTGCAGCACCAAACTCCCCGGCGATGCCTTTCCCGAACCTGCCCCCTGGTTTTACCTCTCTCCGGTACTGTTTATCCTGTTAGTGCATTAGGAGGGAGAAGCAGATATTCATCAGCATCTTGATGCACTATAACCCTGTTAAAATGGATTTCTGTGGGGTTTGCTGATGTGTGCATTTAGAGAACCAGAGCACCCAGATGAAAACCATTTGGGAAATGTTGTCCTGAGTTGCATAAATCATTGAGAAGAGGGGGAGGCTTGAGCCGGAGGGAGGATTTTCAGGACTGAGAGTGGGCAGATTGTTTAGGAACTAGCATTTTTTCTTTTCTTTTTTTAAATTTTTTTTTTTTTGCTTGCTTGTGTCCCTTGCCACCATCCCCCGGGTGACCGGCAGCAGGGTGCTGAATGCACCGAGGGCATCGTCCCCAGGTCCAACCCTTGGCCGAGCCCCGTGGTGGTCAGCAGGTCCCGCTGCACCAGGAGGGCTCAGCTGCTGGAGCGTGGGGCTGGGGGGGGCCTGGCTGGGGCTGGGGGGTGCCCCCAGCCCCCAGAGCATTCCCAAGCACGATGCAAGTCGCTGGACATAAGGATGCCCCCCCCGATGCCAGCAGGAGTTAGAGGGATCTTGTTTAATGTGTTAGGTGGAGGCAGGTACGCAGGGATAGGGAGGGGAAGGTATAGTTTCAGCTATAAAGAAACAAATAGCTAGAAGGAAGGAAAATAAAAAAAGCTAAATGTGCCGGACTTCTGGCAGCACGTGGTCCTACCTTTCAAGAGACCTTCATGGTCCATGTGGATAGACCAGGTGAAAAGGAGAAGAAAGAATGGGAATAAAAGAGAGAGAAGCAGAAAGAGCCTGATCAGAGAGAGGTATGATGAGGTCTGCATTTACAGGGACAGTGCTAAAAACCAAAAAGAAACGTCTGCATTCCTCATGGAGCTAATTGCCTCGTTATACCAAATGGAGCCAGTATAATTGTTCAGAGCTGGATGAGCCTCGTTGGCTTCCCCGAGAAAGCAAATACAGAGCGGCAGTGGATGGCGCAGGTGGGAAGCGGGTGGTTTGCCATCAGGCTTTTCAAGAAGGGCTTGTGGTCGAAGGGCTTGTGGTCGAAGCCCGTTAGCTGCAGGGAACCGCCATCGCTGCTGGGGACCAACGTGCAGCAGGACGAGGGCCAAGTGAAGGGGTCGCTCGGTCTCCCCTCCAGCCTTCTGCTGGGTTTCCATGGTATAGTCGCGCACCGGTACCATCTTATCTATTGACAACCTACACCTCTCCTCCCCTCGCCAGGCTCAGAGGATGGCTCTGTGTCCTCCTGTCTCCGTGTCGGCTGAGATGGGCCATGCGGGGCAAACTGGCGCTGCCTGCACTGTGTAACCTGTGCCGTGAAATCTGAACTGGAGCCCAGAAGCTAAACCCACTCAACTTTCCCTTCCCAGCGGCCAGGGTTTCCAGCCGACTCCCCCACGTGCAGCTTAAACATTTGGTATAATGAGGCACAGTCACTGGCACAGAACATTGTCCAAGGATAATGGTCTCCTGCTTTGAAAATAAGCTTCTCAGCTTAGCCTCTGCTCAGGAAAACCATTATTCTGTTAGTGGAACAGAAAGATGTGACAGTATCTCTTAATTATAGGCTGCAGAGATTTGAAAGTTGCATGCACAGGGCATTAAGGACGTGAGATATGATGAGAGCATATCAGACATGCTATGTGGAGGTGGGGAGGGAAACCAATGAAGAACTCACGTCAGCTCCATTCCTGTCCTTGCTTGAAATACTAATTGCTACCCTCCTTGAGCCTAACATCGCAATCATTTTGAATTTTAATCAGCCAACAGCATTTCATATCAATCCTTCAGGTTCACCTTCCTTTCTGCCTCCTTGAGGGAAGCCTCCTATTGCTTCTCCCAGGAAACCTGTTGTTCCTGAGAAGGAGGAGGCAAAGTTTATGGGTTGTTGGGTTTTTTTGTTCTTGTTATTCTTGTTTAATTGGGTTTTTTCCCCCATCTGGTCTATGGGACAGTGGGATTGACGATGTGGGAGCATCTTTGAGCTTGGTTGTTGCTCTTCTACTGACCTCTGCCATTAGCTCGCAAACTTTTGGGAATGGGGCTGTCAATAAAAGTTTGAGCTTCAACTAAGCAGAAGCTGCTGTGCAGTAGGATGAAGGATATACCCCATTCCTTCCCATTGCCTGGAAGGCAATGCCCCTTGGATGGTGCTTGGGCAGTAAATGCAGCATTGCTGACTGTCGCAATGCTGCCAGCCATGCCAAGAGCTTGGTTGTCCTTCTATGCAAGGCAAGTGGTCCCTGGCAATGCAGTTGCCTTAGGAGCGATGGGGGTGAGGAGGTCTTGACTGCAACCACCTCGACGGACTCTTGAGAAGCAGATCTCTGAAATCAGTGCGTACTGCCAGAAGCTCGGCTGTGGAGACCTTGTCTGAGATCCAGGTGGTGGAGCTGAGCCCATGGGGTTATGTGTGCGTAGCTCCTAGGTGATGAGATGGTTCAGGCTTGCTATGTGATATTTACACCACTCCACAAATTTGGGAACTAAGAGGATCCCTATCATGACTTGGAGCATTCAGGGGACTTGTTTTGGTCAAAGTAGGGACACTGGTGGTGTAGTATGCAGTTAGGGTTATGGCTTCTATCTGTACAAGGAGCTCTGCCGCCACTTGTAAAATTGTGCCTGGGAAGAGAGGCGTTTGATCCGGGCAAAGCCTGCAACAGGACCAGGCTGAGCTAATTTCTCCTCTGCTGTTCTCTGTCCTGGCTGGGAATCTGAAGGGAACATCCCCAGGCTGTGATTCATATGTGGGCTTAATGTAATTATTGAATCATCTCGGTTGGAAGGGACCTTTAAGATCATCGAGTCCAACCATCAGCCTGACACTGCCAAACCCCACCACTAAACCGCATCCCTCAGCACCACATCTGTCCGTCTTTTAAATACCCCCAGGTGTACCCCGGTGTGCCTTGCCCCCCACCAGACGTGAGAGCCAAATCCCGCAGGGAGGTGAGGAAGGCGCTGCCCCTGGGTGTTGGTTAGGGCAGTAAGGAGTGGCCTTTTCCTACAACGTGCTGCTTATTCTGGTTCCTGCTGGGGTGTAATTGTGTTCTGTATCGTGCCATTGGAAGACTGGGGAGCTCTGAGACATCCCAGACAAGAAGAGTCACTACTGAAATAGTTACCGTGCTACTAACAATATAAAAGCGATTGTATTGAGGGCTGCAGTTGTTCTACTTCCATTTATGTGTTGTGTGCAGGCAGATATATTCATTTTGCTTCCTCTAAAGTCTTTGGCAGAACGCTTGTCTTGTTAGATCTTTTACTGAATTGTAAATAAATTCTTCCTGTCTTTGCTACCTCGATTTGTGATGCTAGGAGAATCGGTAATGACGGGGGGTTTAATTAACCCCTATTTTGAAGGCGGGGAAAAAAAATCCTGCTAGCCTAATTGGGCTTTGGATCCAGCTCAGATAGAAAGGTGCATTTTAATTCTTCAAAGAAAAGCAAAGCCCGCTGTGGGTGCTGTAATACATCCCTGTCATCTGTCAAGTGTGGGCAATCCAATGAGACCCGACATCCTTACCTGCTCCTGCTCCTCGGGGGCAGCCAGGAACAGCAGCGGAGCTGCGGGTGCTGCATTGCACGTGAGCGGGCTTGGGAGAGCGCCTGCCCCTTTCTGACATATCCTGGGAGCTTTCCTGGCGTAAAAACAGGCGCTGCTGCTCTCCAAAGGGTGCTGCTTTGCGTGAAAGCAGCTGAGTGGAGGTGAGGGGGAAATCAGAGTGGTTTTAGCAGAACCACTGCTGGGCTGTGCCGCAGCCCTCGGGGTGTTTCTGTAGGGTTTGCCTGGGGACCTTACAGAAAAACCTTGTCTGGGACGCAGGCAGGCCCCCCAAATCAGTACTCTTGCATGCTTTCAGGGCTGATCCGAACAGAAATTTGGGCATTTCTCCCCTCGATAATCTGTTATTGGTAAGAGAGAGGCTGAGCTATGGGGTGATATACCTGAAATATCATAGAATCACAGAAGGGTTTAGGTTGGAAGGGACCTTAAAGCCCATCCAGTGCCACCCCCTGCCCTGGGCAGGGACACCTCCCCCCAGCCCAGGTTGCTCCAAGCCCCGTCCAACCTGGCCTTGAACACCTCCAGGGATGGGGCAGCCACAGCTTCTCGGGGCACCCTGTGCCGGGGGCTCACCACCCTCAAGAGTGAAAAATTTCTTCCTAAGATCTAATCTAAATCTCCCCTCTTCCAGTGTCAAACCATTCCCCCTCATCCCACGGCTCCCCTCCCTGATCCAGAGTCCCTCCCCAGCTCTCCTGGAGCCCCTTTAGGCACTGGAAGGGGCTCTGAGGTCTCCCCTTTTTCGCCTCCCCTTCTCCAGGCTGAACCCCCCCAACTCTCCCAGCCTGTCCTCCCAGCAGAGGGGCTCCAGCCCTCCCAGCATCTCCGTGCCCTCCTCTGGCCCCGCTCCACCTCAGGCTGCTTCAGAGTTTAAGGTTTTGTTTGGGGTTGGTTTCTTTTTTTCTTTTTTTTTGGGGGGGGGATGTGTTAGGAGCGTCACTGAGGTTGGTCTGCACCTGGTGAGAGCTATGTCCCGGGTAGCTGATGTCTCCACCAGTCTCCGCCTGGACTGATCCTTCCGGGCTGAGACAGGGAAAGGAGGAGACCTTGGCAGCATCCTCACAGCTTGGTTACTCTTCCAGGGTTTTAGGCTGGAAATGTTTCCTTTGGCAGAGGACTTGCAGAGGGAAGGAGGCAGGAGGAGGAAGGTGGGAGAAATAATTGAAGAGGCTGCGTGGCACCGCGGCGCCGCGGTTACGTGGAGGGGTAGCGCGGTGAGGTCTGTGATGGCTGGGAGCGGGGCTGACGGGGAGACGTGGTCGCGTGGGTACACATGCCGATGGAAGCATACCTGTAGTCGAACGAGCCGTCTTCTACGTTCTTGTCTTCGGGATTGAGATGCTCATCTTTATTGTCTCGTACTGTAAGCAAGCACATCCCCAACACTTGCGTTAAAAAGCAGTAGAGAAAAGCTTTACGAGGCAGTAACAGCAGCCGGTGTTGTGGCTGTCTTTGTGAAATCCCTGCGGGGTGAAGTACAGCTTTTCATTGACTCGGTAAAAAACCCGCACCTGGGGGGGCTCGCAAAGGGCACTGCTGCGGTGCCACCGGGGCACAGGCGCTCCAGATAGTGAGAGAAGACGCATTAATTGGTAAATTTTCTACAGCCTTATATTTGCCTTGAAAAATTTAATGAGATTTTTTGCCTGAAAAGATCTTTTTCTAGATGAGGGGCAAGCAAATTTGCAGGGTAGAGGTTGGGTCATGCATCGCAGGAGTGTCCGGCTCCGCAGCCTAAAGCCTGCGCAGCGCAGAGCCCTCACCCGACCTTTAATTAACTGAAATGCTTCCCACTAATAATAGTGTTCCCACTACAGAGAAAGAAAAGCCCTTGTAATCACAAGCATCCATCTGAGAGCAATAGAATTTGATTAGCCCCCGGAAGCCTGGAGATGTTTAAACCATGAGCACAAACGATTGCCATGCAACGCTCTTACCTGGGTATTTCCCGCCTCTGCTCCTCTTAATGAAGCAGACTATCAACAGGATAAGAACCAGGAGAGCTATGGCACACATCAGCCCGATGAACCAGCCCTGCGTGGCAATGTCCACGTGATTCTTGGTATAAGCTGGGAGGAAAATTGAAAGAAGAAAAGAAACCAAAAAAACTATGAGGGACTGGACCAGAACCACAGAGGGAAGTAGATGAATAGTAAGACACAGTCCACCGCTTTAGAAATTATCTTCAGCGCTGTAGCGCTGCATTTGTGTGTATTGACCGGGTTATCTGAGACCGTAGCACAGGCATCTGTGGCTTTTCTTTCTTGTTGTTTGTGTTTTTTGTTTTTTGGGTTTTTTTTGTGGTGGTGGTAGGTCAACTCAACATTTTAGCAGGAGCTACAGACAGCGAAGGGTCACAACATAAAGTAAAACCTAGCACAGACCGGTGAGAAAGCCGCGTTGCAAATAATGGCAAAAGAAGCTGGGTAACAGATTTGATCTTTCACTTGCTGTGTCTGAAAACCACCCTGGAAGTAAGAAGGTCTGAAAGAAATGTGCCCGAGAGGACCCAGTGCCTGGTGTCCGGCAAGGCTGAGCAGCACCCCTGGATCCGGAGGGTTGCTGAGCCCCGATGGGCTCATTAGAAACTTCCAGCCAGGAGAAACCTGACTCACACGGGACAGCCCTGCCCGAGCTGCAGAGGCGATGGATGGGCAGTGGCTCCGCTGCCACCACCACCGGGGTCCTGCTGCCTTTGGGTGGCCGTGGGGGAGCTCCAGGGCTGAGAGAGGGCTTGTGGAAGCCCACCAAGACTTGGCCAATGCGTGAGAGGGGACATAGTGGTGGGAACAGCTCTTCGAGGAATGGCAGCTGGGTCCCAGAGAGTTGAGAAGGTGCTCTCATAGCACTGGGAAGTCTTTTTCTCCTGGGGCAAACTCTTTATATCACTGCGTCCGGCACCCCCCGGAGGCTACTGAATAGTAATATGGTTAACACCAAGCAAGGAGGTGTCTTGTTCCCCAAACAATGTTCTGGCTTATACCTGCCGTGTCCTGTCCTCCCTCACATACTCTGACTTCTTGTTTGCAGCTCCCGTACGCGGTCAGACAGACAAATCTGTGTCCTATAAATAGCAACAAGCTGCCATTTTCTGGCTCTCATTGACATGCACTTCGTATTCAGCAAGACGGAGCAGAGGAGAAAATAACCTTCAGCGCAGCGGGGCGGCTAAATTTAACCAGCCTGCAGTGCAAACAGAGATAGGTATTCCTGGCAGGAGCGCGGGAGACCTGAGCTGAGTGGGATTGAATTGGGATTTAGCGGGGGTTTGCCTGAAACGGGCAGGAGAGTGCAGCGAGCAGCCTTTTGCGGTGCCCGTGTGACAAAACCCAAGATGGTGCTTACGAAGAAAGCATAAAAGATAGCCCTCCATTAATGTATTCTGAATGAAAGGCTCTTGTAAGAGAGACAACAACTTTAAAAATGGGTTCAATTGGCAAACTTTCCTAACCCGCACCATTTTAGGACTGTAAGCACACACTTAACTCCATCAAAATTGAACCCAAGAGAAGAGGTACTTTCCTTAGGATGAAATCTAAGCCACGTTGTCAGTACGTAATTGCAGCCAAACCGTGATAAGGAAATTCAGATAAAAAGAGGAGAACGACAAGAAAGAGCACCATTTGCTGAAGAAATACCCTGAACGCTCTGTGTTTGCGAGCGGCACCGAGCTCCTGGGGAAGGCGGGTGGAAGCAGCTGCCTAATGGTGCCTTGGGTCCCTTTTGCTGCTCTTCCCTTTCATGCTGCCCCATCTAATATTTACCTTTAGTACAACCTGCGCTGTGTAGTCCTTGAAGATGCACTTTTTATAATGGAGAGAATGAGATTATAACAGAGCGGAGCCGAGAACTGGATTCAATTAGCTGAGTGCTTGGGGAGGAAAGGGGGAAGAAAGCTTTACTGGAGAGCTTTGAAATGGAAAAAGATTGTATTAGCAGCCCTGATGGGATGGGGTTTGTACCGAAACCCACGCTACGGGAGAAATAAGGGGTTTTTCAAAGAACAAACTGCCAGAGCAGCCCAAGAGGTGGGTTTTGTGCCACCACACGGATTTGGGCTGAGTTTTACAGGCAGGGAGGGTTTTGAGTACCAAGTCACCGGGGGGATCTTGCAGTAGGATGGTGGCACTGCCTGTCGCCAAGGTAGAGGTATAATTGCCATCCTTCCCAAAAAAGCAACACATGACGACAAAATTATAGTCACAGCAATCTTGTATTTAGAGTAAACGAGTGACTGTCATTGCAGCATTCAGAAAGAGAAGATTAAGTATATGGCTGTCAGAGAGGATGTTTTGATTTGCTTTAATGTAAGGCCAACGTCAAGGGGAAATAGTGGGAAGCAGCTTTGTAATCGAACAGGTATTGATTTGAAATGCAACTGCAGTGACTTTTTTTTTTTTTTAATTAATTATAATTTTGTGGCAGAAAACGTGTTGCCTAACACTGGTAGTTTATATGCCAATAGCAAAGCTGACTGTTCCACCAACAGAAGGTCGGCAAAATTTTTGTCTTTGTAAAGCAAAGACCATTGGGTACGTGAAGCCTCACTGCCTCCAGCCGTGTGTCGTCCTCTTCCCAGTGTTTGTACAGGCTGGGGATTTTTATTTTTTTACTTTAATTTAGAAGACTTCTTAGTATTAAGCTATGTCTGTAGTTTCAAAGTGTCCTTTACTGCTGGAAGGCACTCTGTTGGGTTATTGAGCTGTCAGTTAATCAGAAGCGAAGTTGGAGGACAGTGTCCTGCAGCCGCTGCACAGGTGGACTGCTTCTTATTTATCTATGCTCAAACTGAAGAAACTTTTAGAATAGCTATTTGGTTTTGGTTTTGGGTTGGTTTTTTTTTTGTCAAAAGCATTCCTGATGGCATATGATTGTCTGCAGGGGCTGAACGCTCGTGTCAGCAGTATCCAGCCCGTGAAGAAATGGATCTGCAGCATTTACGCACGCGGGGACAGTGATAGCTCTGAGCATCCCGCAGTGATGGGGCTCGGGTCACCCATCAGCCTCTGGTGCAGGCACAAAGGTGGCCCCATCCTTTAGTCTCAATGATAATACCAGTAGGAACCCCTCAGTTGCAGAAAATAGATAAGCCGAGACCGCCAGCATCGATCAGCCAAGGATATTGCTTTTTTTTTTTTTTCCTTTTTTTCCCCCTCTTTCTAATACTCCCTACCCCGTGGTACCTGTTGTGCAGGGGGCTGCCCCCTCTCCCCCCACATCCCAAAGTGGATGAAAAGTAGGCGAGAAAAGAAAAGAGGGCGGGTCCCCATTGGGAAATAGTTATCCAGAAAGACAGGGTGCGCGGTACGGGTGGGGGCTGTCGAGCCGGGGGCGACGGAGGGTCCAGAAGCAGAAACAAAATTGGGGCTGGAACATTGCAGCTGGAGCTGTTCTGGAGAGAGTCTGAGTTGAAAAATCAGCACTTTTAACATCTGGGGGTCAGAATCAGCCTCTGCAACGTAGGAGCAGGCTGGGAGCCCAGGGATGCAAAACCTGCAGACAGTTTGCGTGTCTGCGAGCCGAGTCCCGCCAAAGCCAAGCTGTGAGAACTCCCCCGGCGAGGCGGCCGCGGTACGTACAGCAGCGCAGCGATGGGGGGGGGAGTGGGGGGGGTGAAAAAACCCTGGTGAAAATAAATCCTTTTTGTAAACCGGGCTCTCTGCAAAGCCAAACGCATTCCGGGGGCTGCTCGTGCACATCGCAGGGTGAGGGAGCAGTTTGAGGAGGCGCATTGGACCTCAGCGCGGGGCAGAGCCGAGGTCAGCACTCGCTGGTGGTTTCTCAGAGTTGGGCAGCGTTAGACATGCAGAAGTACCGGCAGTTGCCATCTGTCCCTGTGTCATCTTAGCGCGCGGGAGAATTGCTTGGCGGCGTTATGGCTTGCCAAAATTTTGGAGACCAAATAAGATGCGCACAGGGGGTGTGGGGAGAGCTGCTGCCCCCCGCCTCCCCCCTTTTGCATTCTCCTTTTGCGCTTCTCGGCAAAGAGCCTGAGAAGCGCTTGAGCTTTCCGCGACGTGCCTGGAACTAAGCAAAATAATTTCAGTTCTTTGAAAATCACTGCCTCTGCCTACTACGTGTGTCATGTGGGCTGCTCCGGTGTTGTTTGCTCCTTGGGTTTTCGGCTAAGTGTTTAGACCCGTGCTTTGACAGGCGTTGTGCACAGACTCCTACGGCAAAACCCCCGGGTGAATACAAAGGAAGTTACGGCTGTTTTGATTTACTGAAACTCATCGAGTGTGAACGGTGAAGTTTTATAAATGCATAAAGCCCAATTCAATGCCTGTGGAAGTCAATAAGGGTATTTCTCTGGCATTCGATGGGCAGTGTAGGAAGCCCACAATTAGAAAGCTGTAAAAATCACTCAGGTGCTAAGCCTGGAAAATTGCTTGTGCAATTAAACGCAAAATTGCCAGAGGAAACATACCTGGAGGATGGAACGCCCCAGGCATATGCCGCACGTGACTCTGACCGAGGTCTTCTGCAAACACCGCGTTCCCCCATCCCGGTCCTGCCCCTCACCTGCATCCCATCACCAGCATCTCCCCGCCTGCCCCCCTGCCATAACCTGGGGCCAGACACGCGCACGCTCTCCGGGACCAAAGCAAACGCACAGTGGCAGCACTCCAAGCGGAGGCATGCGATGACATGAGCGCGTTCTCCACCCTCGCTAAAGACCCTTTCCATCGAAGGGATCCCCGTCCCCTCCTGGGGCTCTCCTCCTCCCGGCGCTGCTGGGGGCATCTTTTGAATAAGGGCAGAGATGATGGGCCGTGGGAGGAGGGGGGGGTCTGCCGGAGGGTGGATGAGGGTTGTTCCATGCAGTCATGGTCAAACCACCTCCCGCCACCACGCGAATGACGTCGGCGGTGATGGATGTGACATGCCTCGGAAACGCACCCCGCGGCCGGGGCTGAAGCCCGTCTCACCTGAGCTGGTGGTAAAGGTTATGTACGAGTGTTCGCTGGGGCTAGACCATATGGGGAACACCCACAGCTTGTACATCATTCCCGGCGTCAGATTCGCCAGCTGCACAGAGGAAGGGGTCTGAGCTTTAACAGGGATAGATTTCTCTGTCTTGTTACCTGAGAAACAGAAACCGCACATCAAACCCAGCCGCAGGAGGCTCGGAGAGATTACCGTGTTGACACTGCAGGCAATGCATTATGCTATCCCTGGCCGCTGAGCAGAAATAATACAGCTTGATGGTCAAGGAGCTATTAACGGCTTCGTGATTATTACTCACGGAGAATAGAAGAAAATCGGCGATGCAGGAATATGGTGTGGGTTTTGCTGCATCCCTGCGCGCCGTACTGGAAAAAATACCGGTAGCTATTCAGATCTCTCCCTACTTTCAAGACCCGACAGGTCCTTTATCTGCCCAGCCTCAGGTCTGGATATTTGGGTGTTTACCACAAAAGGTCTGGAATTTGCCTGGTCCCGCTCAGCTGGGCGAAGGTGCTACAGGACTCAGTAAAGGAGCCAATTCTTGCGATTTTGGGAGCGGTACCCGGGTTTGCCGGTAGGTTAAGGAGGCTTTGAATGAGCTGGATGTCGCAGTAACCGTGCTGCGAGACTGCTCGCCCCAGATTGCTGCTTTCGGGGATGAGAGGGCTCTGGCCTCTCCGCTCCCGAGGGATGCTCGTGGGCTGGTTGCTCCCAGGCTCTGTCCAAGGCCGACCTGTTCTTTGCGCTGTGCCAGGAATCATTTGCTGCAGAGCTTAATGCTGAGCATTAAACCAGTGGAGTCTAAGGAAGCCTCCAGGGGGGCTTTGGTTTGTGGCTCTGGAGGTGCGCACCTCCCCGTTCAGCAGTGCGATGGGGAAGGAGAAACGCGGCTATGAGGCCAAAAGCGTGCTGCGTGCTTCAGATGCCACCGGGAAGGGAGGAGGGCCGTGGCTGTTCGGGAAGGGCTGAGATTCCCTCCCTCTTGGCCAGATCCCGATGAGGGAATCCCAAGGTGTTGCTGCCGCCGCAGCCCATCCTGAGCACCGACTCGGCATATGGGCTCTGGAAGGGCATCACCGGCGCTTTGTGCTTCCCGGTGCTGGGAAAAAAACAGGGCTGGTGGCAGGTGGTTTGGGAGAGGGGATAGTTGGCATTTAGGGCTTGAAAAGTTGATGCGTATCCTGAATTATGGGGAAAAAAAAAGGGGAAGGCTGAGCCTAGCCCAGCCCACGCTGCCTACCGGAGCCCTGCAGGCTGCAGAGCGAGACCAGGCACTGGTTGCGCGTTAGGAATTGTTTCAAGGAGAAATCAAGGTCATCTCTTAAACAGTGTTGTAAATGACCCAAAGTGGTTTGCTGTCAATGGTTACGCCTAGTTGCTTTATTTTAAATGCCAATTTAAGACTGGCATACCAGATGATGTGAGGGCTGCAATGGCTGGGAAATAAAGTCGGAGATAAGCAGTAGTCATCACTGCCTATCTATAAAAATATAAATAAAAAACAACCAACAACATGTAAACATCTCTTCTAAACAATTGCTAAAACCAGAGATACTGTCTTTGAGTTTCCAGTCTAAGTATGTAGCCTTACAATTTTAAGAGAATGGTATCTGGTACAACAGGAGGTTTGGGATCATAGATGATTCTGCCAACTCCAGGTTCTAGAAGCCTCTCTTCAAAGGCATTTAAAACTGCTCTCCAATTTATGTAGGTTTCATTCATTTTCCATTAAAGTTTTTTCCCCGTTCATATATATATATTTATATAAAGGCTCTTTAGGTTGTGACCACATACAGCCCAGCTCAATGGCCAGTTCACAAATGAACAGCCTCGCTCATCTGTTTCATAAACATCTCCGACCATCAGTGCAAGGAGAGGGAATCACTTGTGGAGCACCAGGATTAGCTCTAAACAGCCATGACCGTGACCTGCTTTTTCCTCTCCCATCCTCCACCTGCCCATGCAGCATCATTCCACACACAGTGATTAAGACTGAGTAATAGGCTGCAACCGTGGGAGCTGGCAGGATCTCTAATGGCATCACCACCCTATAGAGTCCCCACGCGATCTGATGCTTACTGGTGATATACTTAACCACAAAGTCAGTTCCTGCAGAGTAATTGTGGCTCCAGGTGATGTTTGCCCAGTTACTATTAGCCATAGCTCTTATGTCCCATATGGACGATCCATTGGTGGCTGGTGGACAGGTTAGAACAGGAGTTAGTATTTCGGATTATACACGAATGAGACCTTATCTAGCATCTGGTGTTGCTAAAACCTTACAAAATCATTCCTGAAGTTAACGCTTTGATCTTAACCTATGAGCATGCCTAAGGATGCATTTGCTCCTTTCAAGATTCTTGACTTTAAACTTTTGGGGGAAGTTTGGTAGCAGAAGCTCATTGTGTATTGGTGTCCAACTGCACTCAGGTTATCTTTGGAGTCTGAAGACTTCTGTGGCACATCTCGGGGGATTTCAATCAGCAGGGAAATCTCTTGGCTAAACTCGTGCCCAAACGGACACGGGAGATGTGTGCGTGAGTGCACAGGGACTCACTGCCACAGCCGAGAAGGAAAGACTGGGAGAGAACATTGTCATGTTACTGGGTCTAGAGACAGCCAGTGGGGCAATGAAGTCACTCGTTTCTGATTTTGAAGTTAAGGATTGTCGACGTTGCTTTGGAGAGCGGATGAACTTCATTTCTAGTGAAGTAGAGCTAATCCACTAGTTTAGTGCACGTTTAAGTGATGTCAGATAAATTACACCTTGGTTTTATTACTATTATTATTTACTTCAGGGCGTAGCTCAGGTTTTGGTTTGACGAAACACAGATTAATAACTGCAGTCCCTGGGACGAGGCCAACTATGTGACTTTTGGGAAACTGCATGGACCTGAGGCCGCGGGGTCGGGGACGTGACCTAGAATCCCTCGTACAAATACAACCAGTGCTGCCACGCTGCTGCCCTGTCTGCCCGCATTACGGCTCAGCCTCTTCCCTCGTGTCCCCAGGGTGGCTGGGGACACGCGTGGCTCCTCTTTTCCTCCCGTCTCCTCTCCCTGCTCCATGGCAGTGTGTGCCTCACCACTTAATTGCCTATTTTCAAGTAGCGGCGCTTTCCCACGTAGTCACTCAATAGCGACTGCGCTGCGGTAGCGATCTTGCTTCGTTACTAAGACCTCGTATACAGTGGTGAAGCTGCATCTGTGTTTCTTGCACCAGTTTTTAAGCTTTCCTCGCAGTTGGCAGCCTTGCCCCGCGGAAGGCTTCCCTGGCTGGGGAGGCGTGTGGTGCCGCAAGCTGGAATGCAAATCCCCATTTCTCAGTTCAGGTCTGCACCTTTAATAAGCCAATTAGCGCAGAGCAGTCTATTCGCAAATCTGCTTTACTGCGGAGTATCGGGTGGAGGCTGGTCCTCCCGCCATACGCTTTTGGGGTTTTAACCATCCTGAGCTGAGGTTGTGTGAGAATACAAAGAAAGGGGTCTGAACTGCTTTAAATCAACCTTTGAATTAAATGGGTGTCACCTTCAATCTTCATTACTATTATGTCCTTTTCCTCTTTTATGAAGAGTTAACAAGGATTTCTGTAGCTTCTGCATTTGCGTTTTTGAGTGTATCTTATCCAGCTACGTAACTGAATTCCTTTTGATTGTGTTCCCTGTTGCTACTAGTTTGATTTATTTTTTAATAACCTGAATATAACTATCCATAATTATTTATTAACTGTAGATACGATTATAGGGGCATTTTTTAAAAACAAGGCTCAGTGAGATACATCTCTGTATCTATCAGTAAAACGCACATAGTAGAGAATACACCTCCACCCCACCAGAGTTTGAGCACCCCATTCTAGCTGGTTCCGGGAGAAGTTCATCTTGACCTGAGGAAAACCTGGCACACACCTGCGTGTTGGAACTGAAGCACTTCCCCAGCTCTGCTGTGGGCTACGCCTGGGTTACATCGCAAAGAGCAGTAGCAGAAACCAAAAGACTCATATAAATGATGACAGGTCTCTTAGCTAACAGCTGATGGGCTAAATTTGAACTGACATCTTCTACAATAGTAACAGAACCCCTTTTTAATGGCAATGAGGTACAAGATAATATTTTTGAGGGCTTTTTTAGGGTCTTCCACATCCTTCCCAAACACTGATGCTAATTCAGCATCGCGACACCCCGGGGAGGGCTCTGTTATCCCTGAGACTGAGACCAGGAGGGTGACACAGGGACCCCCAAATTGCCTAGAGCCACTTGTGCACCTCGATTCCTGAGCCTGTGCCACCTCCGGCTCCTCGCAAAGCCATTCCCAGAGCATGGGGTGTCTTAAATTCATAGAATCACAGAATAGTTTGGGTTGGAAGAGACCTTAAAGCCCATCCAGTCCCCCCCCTGCCCTGGGCAGGGACACCTCCCCCCAGCCCAGGTTGCTCCAAGCCCCGTCCAACCTGGCCTTGAACACCTCCAGGGATGGGGCAGCCACAGCTTCTCGGGGCACCCTGCGCCAGGGGCTCACCACCCGCACAGCCAAGAATTTCTTCCTAATATCTAATCTAAATCTCCCTTCTTCCAGTTTAAAGCCGTTCCCCCTCGTCCTATCGCTACATGCCCTTGTAAAAAGTCCATCCCCAAATTCTCCCTGTGCCCGTTCTTAATCCTCGCTCTGAGCAAGCTGCGGGGAAGGTCCCAGTAGGGTTAGAGGGGTTAGAGGAAAAGGAAAGCGCAGTACCCAACTCCTGCTTTGTGGTGGCTGCCGGAGCCCTCTCTGTAGCTGCTGTAGCGCTTGCGACGGTGGTGGCGGGTAGAGTGGTGGCAGCTGTGGTGGTGGTGGTGGTGGTGGTGGTGGTAGTAGTTGTGTCGGTAGTTGTGGTAGTTGTGTCGGTGGTGGTGGTAGTTGTGTCGGTGGTGGTGGTGGTAGTTGGGGTTGTTGTAGTACTGGTTAGACCGATTGTAGTTGGAGGCAACCCAGTTGCAGCTGGGAGAGGGAAACACTGGCTTTTTAGACGAGGTGATGTCTCCTCAGGGCTCGCACTCGCCACCCCCGACGGCCGGACGCGCAGGCACGCGAGAGAAAGCCGAGCAGCACGGCGCGGGGAGCGGGGCAGCAAACGGCACCGGG